TTATTGTGTATCAGCACACCCGCGCTGTCTCTGATTGTCTCACTGACGCCTGGTTTTCTCGGACCAGTGGTGCGGATCAGCTGGAAGAGCATGCGGTAATTGCCTACTGCACCTGCCTCCTTCATTTCTTGAGCCCGAGTGGTACACCAGGCTTCCTTGTCAGTACGTAGGCTCCGCTTTAGTTCACGCCTAATAGCCCGTCTGGTCACATTGTGTTCAGAACCAGCTGGGAGTTTCCTACTGGATTCCAACAGGTTCACCGACCTCTCGGATATCCAGTGACTGGTGCAGTGACGATTGATAGTGCCACAAACAGATGCTCCTGAGTCGTGCATAGCGGCCGAGATCCTATTCCACTGAAGTTCAGTGTCATTAGGAAAAGACAGCGAGAGTTCGCTATGCAGTGCTTCTTGACAGGCTTGCCTTACCGAGGACTGAGACAATGTCTCCGTTGCCAATCGTAGGGGACGCTTTGTGCGCCTTCCGGTAAAGTTCATGGAGAAACCACAGCGCACCAAGGCATGATCTCAGTCGACAGAGGTACTCCAGTACGAGCGGCAATCTAGAATGGAACCGAGCCACCTGTAACTTATGGCTATGTGGTCAATTTGAGTCCATCGCTGGCCAGCTACAGGTGGACGCCAAGTGACACTTCGGTGCCCACTGTGTCTAAAAGCAGTGCTATTAAGAAACAACTGGTGCTCCGCACACAGTTGCAGCAGACGCTCGCCGTTGTCAGTCCGTTCGGAGTTAAGTCCATAATTACCACCCAGCTGAGCTTCTGCAGAGCTCAGACACCCTACTTGTGCATCCATATCCCCTGCAAGTACTATAATAGCTGAACTAGTAGCACTGCGTAGTAGGGCGTTCAGTTCGTGATAGAAAGTGTCCTTGACTGCATTAGAACTGCAGTCGGTGGGAGCGCAAACGGAAATCACAAACAAACAGCGTATAGTTTTACTTCGCGAATTCACCTTAGCTGATGTCGTCAAACGGGCTGCACATAAACGGCTGTTCACTGGAATCCAATCAACCAACGATGACGCAGCCTTGGAGCTGAGAATGATACCTACACCAACTTGACCCGTGAGTGCCGCATCGGCGTCTCCGGATGCGTGCAACCAATAACGAGAGGATAAGCGGGGTGCAGTTAATTCAATAACCCCGTTAGGGTCATTAATCCTAGTTTCAGACACACAACACACATCAACACCCAGTGTGTCCAAGGTGCGTGCGAGTGCAGCCTGCTGACCTGTTTGTCTTAGAGTGCGGACGTTGAATGTCGCCATGGAAACGGGACAGCGTGGCCTTATAATGGACTTTTGCCGATAGGCGTCCGATAGGTGCTGTGGGATGGTGGCTGCAGATGGTACTACTCCAGTAGCACTTCGGTTGCTGTCAATTAAGCTGGGAATTATAGAAGGAAGGTTAGTAATAGGGGCCGGGATGGGAGTAAGAGAAAAAGGTGGAAAAGTAAGAAAGGAGGCGCCAGCAGTAGCATGTTTTCGCTTATCCGCCCTGCTGTATGCAGCAGAGAAGGCGGCCCTTGATAATCTGCGCGACGGCCGATGCAGGATGAAGTTTATGTTTGAAGAAAAAGTCATGGTTGTAGGTGGGTTGAGATACTGCCAGGGCTCCCACACCTAGACAGGAGGATGATTAGTGTCCTCCTTCAAAGTCTGGTTCAAAAGCCTGTCGGCAAGGCAGCGGGGAGGTGGTAATAATTTAGTTGTACAGAAATGGACGCCACCCAATTTCAAACCCCCAACCTGGAGGACCAGGAGACTGAGTTTGTCTGACCTCTCGCCATTGACCAACCTGGTAGAAGTAGCTCTCAAGATGCTCGGAAACATCACCCAGTATAGCTCAATGGATCAATGAGGTACGCAAACCGCCGCACCACGTTAAGGTCCAGTCTCGTTGCGACGGCTGCAGTAGTCCCAGTACTGATGCACCGAGTGAAGGAGGATGTACCTAAGTAGGTTCAACGTTCGAAGGTACAGGAAACTGGCCAGATTCAAACTGCTTGTCTGCGTAATCCTCCGGCCTCTTCGATCGGCCGACACTTATTAACCATAGGTCACCGAGTCGATGTCATTTCGGCGTTCACAATCCTATTACAGCACACCAATTTTCGCCTCCATTTCGCAGATGGGATTGCTATTAACCGGATTAAGCCGGTGCTTTGTGTTCCGAAACAGTTATCGGTCAACATTAGACTGCACTGGGGATAGAGGTGATAACCCCGTCTGGCTATTCATGTGTTGGCCTGTTTGTTTGTTTGCATGTATGTTTGGTCCATGCCCTATGCTGAGGCTGATGTTGCACTCTTGATGTTTCTTCACCGCAGTTGGGCTAAACCAACTTACACTTAAACTAGGTCTTTTTAATGTGGATAACATTCATTCCACTTTATTTGCTTTGTGCTGCGCACTTGATAATCTTCTCCTTACTTGCACACGTCGTTCACGCAAATTGTGGTAAACTTGCGTAATTTTATCGCGTGGTCTCTTTTAAATAACTTTCGGACATTTTGCACTTATAACGGATTCACTTATAACCAATTTCTTCTATATGCTCATATAGCGAGTATTTATGTCGTCATATGCGTTTACTTAAATCGATATCGGCATTTCGAATGACTGGCTGTTGTTTGACATCCCAGGTGTGGCTGCGCTTGATGTGCATGTTGACAAGGTGACCACCTGCCTATTACCCACTACGTCGTCCATACTGGCTCCAGAAGACAGTTGGTCGTTGCTGGAGGGGACGGAGTGCACGGTCCTTGTGACCGTGTTAGCATCAAAGGGTTATTCCATACACTCAGTGTGGAGCGGACTACGGTCCAGCCACCGCTTTGTGTGCGCTTGATTTCCTAAATACAGCGTGCTTGTGTTTGCCTGTGAAGGAGTGTGGGCCGGCTCCGTTGATGAAACGTGGCTCTCATCCACATGCCTCCCGGTTTTATCCCCCCCCGGGTTTACACCGAATATGGGGTGTGCGCATGGAACTGTGGGTGGTGCAGCGCAAGCTCACTCATGGTCCCTCTGTAGGCGCAGGCGTCCTGTGGCTCGCCACAGTGACAGGAAATCCGAAACCGGATGCCGCCAACCGGGTTTGGTCGCACCCTACTCTGAATAAATATTATTGCGAGTTGTTGTTAAAGGCACTGATGAGAGAATACAAATAGCATGCGTTTGCCAATCTTCGTCTTCTTACTGCGCCATTCAATAATTGTCCAAAATAGACAGGCGCTTTATGTCTTCCGAGCGAAAAGAGCAGGTTTCACAGCCGTAGCAAAGGACCGCACGGACAGACATTGTACACCTTGCGATTAGATTAAGACTGACATTGCGGCAAAGTCATAGGTGCCTCAATCTGATGTATGCACCGTGGGCCTTTGCGATCCGTTGTGAAACCTCATCTCCAACACCGCCGCTAGCGGTGATGCAATTCCATGGATAAGTGAAGCAGGGACTTGTTCCAGGTCGTCACCAGCAATGATGAGGACATTCACGGGCATTTATTAACCTTGCAGTAGTATTTTACATTTTGCATGGCGTGAAACAAAGGCCATAGTTAGAGGCCTCCATAGCTAAGCGGTTGAAAGAGCTCTGGATGGCTTGTGGATCGTCCACAAGGAAATCGATATCATTTGCAGAGTCCAAGTCAGTGACACTGTCACCTGGAAGAAGCTGCATGCAGCAGTTTGGGACGCCTTCCAATGCTCGTTTGACGACATATTCAATGGAAAAACTGAAGAGGAATAGGGCAACCTTAGCGAACGCCATCTGTGGTAGTAAACGGAGAGGAAAGTATGCCGTAAGCCTTAGTCTTGTCTGACGTGTGGCGGTAGCGTTCCTTCAGGATGGCTACAAACTAGTCGAACACATCATTCTTCCGTAGACAGCTCCACAACACAAATCTATTTACTGAGTCAAATGCTGCTCGGATGTCCAAGAACACTACGATTGCCGGACGCCAGTGGACGTGACTAAATTCAAGAAGTTGGCAAGGTTCCAAGTAGCACTTAGTGTACCCACTTGTGTGGTTGGATTGCGACTCGCAATCTCTATTCAGTCCTCGGTCCTCTTTGAAGTAGACCTCAGTCATTACGATCACAAGGACCGTATCCGAACTAGTGGTTCAGTGCTGCTCCGCCCAACCCTGACACTCCATAACCGGTTTCGTCCTCGTTTGGACTCACCAGATCGAAATAGCCTGAGCTGGGGTGGCTTAGTGTTCAAAGGTTGACGCCTTGACCACTATGGCTCTAAGATCGGTGAGTAACGCTTGGCACAGCGGTAAGAAAGTCCAAGTGACATTTAGTGTACCCGCTATGTGGTTGGATTGGGACTGGCAATCTCTATTCAAACCTTAGTCCTCTTTGAAGTAGAGGTCGGTCATTACGATCACAAGGACCGTATCCGAATTAGTAGTTTGGTGTTGACTAACCCGTACAGAAACGTCCATGCTCTCTCTCTTACTAATTTAATGGACGCGTATTGCTGAAGCTCCAGCGCAACAGATAGATCACTTGTTGTTGCTACTGGCGATGATAAGGAAGACCGTATTCAACAATTGGCCTCTTCCCATGTGTAGCAAGCAGACAAATAAAATACATCACTGTCTCCGGAGAAAGATTCCAGCTAGAACCAAGTAAGACTCATACTTCGGAAGGTAGGGACAATAGGAGTTGAACGACGTTGTAACATCGAAGGATAGCTTCGTATTCAATGATTTACCAGTCAGCCATCATGCACTCATTCTCCTAGACAGTAAGGGTCGGGCACAAATGTACCGGTTGATGAGACTTGGTGGGAAGCAGTTTGACCCCGGCTCCGTGAAACCTGCCATTCTCATAGGTGTGGTCTTGCAACAGCGTGAATAATGTGGCAATACACATCGCTATACAAGAGCAATCGATATCTGATGGGAAAGTGAACCCGAATATTGTGAATAAGGAATAGGTCGTGTGACGACCGGATAGGTCAACTCACCGGATAGTGGCCGAAGTGTGAATCCGTGCAGTGATAGCTAGGAATTGCCCCGAGACCAGGTTGTGTCATGTGCTGATGGCCAGACGATGCCGACGCATGCATTGAACGATGGGGATAAAACGCAGCTTGAGATGGATCGTTCATATAAGGGGAGGGATACATCGATTTGCCGAATGCAATGGAACCAGGAGGTAACACACTACCAGTGGTCTTCCCGTACGGGCATGGGTGTTGCAAAGGTGTACATGATGCGGATATAGTCGAAGTGGAGTTGGCGTTTGCGCGTCCAGTTCCAGCTGTTTTCCTCTTCTTCCCTCCCGTTTTACTTACGCTGGAGCCTCGGGCACCAGTGGAGGAACTAGTGACTACTGCTGAAGCAGGAACTGGGGTCGGAGAAGAAGTGAGCGAGCCTGTTGGAGTTCGGAGACCAGAAGTGCGTTGCGTGGGTGCGGTTCCACAGGGCACCATGGAGCCAACAAACAGTCCACTATCGTGCAACGAGCCTTGTGGAGTGGCAAGGGCACCACCAACGCTAGGAGACCAGGAATCGTTGGGAGATCCATAGTAAGGACGTTTTTGCCCCATGACGACCGCACCAGATGGAACTTGATCAGGGTGGCAGTTCATGGTGGGTATGCAGCGATAATTGTGGCCAGACACAGCTGAGGACTGTGTGGATAGTGAGTAAGCAGAACTGACAGTGATGTTGGAGTTGTTCGGTGGGACCATGACAACAGGGGGGCCAACACCATCTACGTGAGTGGAAAAATGTCTGGGAGATATCTGGCACGAGGCATGCTGTTCCATGACCGATGAAGCTGCAGGCACAATGTTTCCGGCTGACGGCGGTCCATTCGCATCTGTCGGAGTAAGTGAGCAACAAGTCGAGTCGTTGAGAACCATCGCATGCCGGCAGTTGAGGTGCATGCGTTGGGGCGAAGGTTCAAGCTTCTCTCTTTGGTAGTCTAGACATAAACGGTCCCATTCTCGTTGAGCGGTTTCAGAAGGTGGTAACCCCGGGCAGACGGGTCCCCGATTGAAAAGATAGCTGTCCGGAATTCCGTGACGCTGAACAGGAGGGTAGGATGTGGGACCAGTAGGAGTTCCGGTAACCGTTCCTGCAGAAGGAAAACCAAGATTATAGATAGCAAAAAATCCAGGGAAAAGGTGATAGTGGAATTAGGATGCGCGAAAAGAGACGTACTCACACATGGTACTACACTCACCATCGGCATGCTGTTGTGGTCCGATTTTAGCAGGAGCTAATGGTCCGGGTGCAGAAGAGCCGTTGATTGGTAATCGATGTTGATGCATAACCACGCCTGCCGCAGCGGCCACTGCTCCGGGAGTAGAGGCGCTTTTACTTTTGCTTAATGTGGAATGAATTTTTTCTAATTGGGCTATTTTGCTCTTGCGGTTTTCCCACTGTTCCTGTGTCAGAGTGGTTACAGCTTCGGGGACTCCCACGATCGGTGTTACCATGGCAGTCGCCGGACGATTGGGTTTGACTGCAGACAGTGCCGATCGGCCGAGTTGCGGTGTGGTATCTGTGGCGTCGGTAAAGGTGGCGAGCGCTGTGCAAGAGGATGTATGCGTAGCGCTGCATTCCGAAGAGCTGGGCGAAGGATTGAATGAGTACGCTTGCGGCTTGCGCGTGTCTGTTGGTGAACCAGCAAGAGGGGAGGCGGTGCGTTGCAAAGACGGTGCGTTGCATGTGCTGGATGTGACTTTCATTGGGGAATGAGAAGTTAGAGAAGAAGTGGGTAAGTTCGGAAAGTCCGATGTCTGATCTGATGGATGAGAGGGAAACGAATTTCTATCCGCACTCGAAAGGCAAGAGCCTGGGGATAAAAGCAGATGGGATGAGAACAATTGCAGATCAAAATTATCGGCGTGAGTAGCGCAGAGATAATTGTCAAGAATCTAAGTCTTCATAAGCTAAAAATAAGGACCGGACGCACACAGTTAGGCACTAGACAAGAAAAGAAGGAAACCTACGGGGATAGAGGTTCTTCAACCAACGCCGGACTGACCTACCACCATAGACAGTTAAACCGAAATTGATAACTCAATGCAGAAGCACGGGTTTGGTGTTGAGCAGCGACTGATGGGTCACAGTAGAACACGTTTGGTGATGTCATCAGATAGAGGAAGTTCTTTGTACGTGTAGGTGGTTGAAGACGAGTGATGACTAAAAATGACGAGTACGTTTCCAGTCCATACATCGGTGATGGTTCCACAGCAGACCTGCACACAGTGCCGCCTATTTAATGGGATGTGGAGAATCATCTTAGCTTTACTTAGACACGATGAGCACATTTGCCGTGTCAGATGTAAAGCATCCACTCATCTACTTAAGGCTTTCAACATATTAGTCTGAGCATTCAAAGACAGGGAATATTGATCAGGTATCAACAACGATTGCAGACAGATGTGGGCTAGCTAGTGATAAGGTTTGCAAGAAGCAAGCGCCTTAAGAGTGGTCGGTAGATTAGTGGGATCTCAAAGGTGCCGAGCAGGATGGGTTATTGAACTTAAACTGTGACGCTGATTGGGACGCATAATTTCGTGCCCGTTGACCGCCTACACGAAACGTGATGCTAGCTGTTGTTGCATCTGTTTGAGTAGGCAACAGCATAGCATAGCGATAACCTCAAAAACGGTGGACGGAGGTACAGCGTTGCGATGTTCTATCTCTCTGCACATACGAACAGTGTTTGAATAAGTTGACAGAATTGATCTCTGGAGCTGCCCACTGGGGAGTGTCTGAGAAGTTCGTGAATATCCTCTAGGCAATCGATTCTTCAACAACGAGGCGCCTGTGGGTATATGACAGTAATTCCCAATGCTTCGGTATCATCAGCGGTGTAAGACACAGTTGTCCCGCAGCATTCTTCTTGTCCAACATTTATATGGGTGACATCTAAGAGGGGACTGGGGAAAGCGGTGGGCGTAGTGGCGCCGAGTTACTCTCGATTGATCGACTTTGTGACTCAGAGCACACTCAGTAAATCGACGTAATCTATGGGCCTTCGCAGACTGTATAGGACATGCTGCATGAGTCGGGAATGTTTGTATTATAGTTTGGAATGCCTCTTGCTCCTTCCAACTTCAACTTTTTACTGCTGGACTGACTAGAAGCTTTTTAATGCACCCAACATTTCCGACCTCTCGTTGAAAGTAGTTGACAAGTTTGTGTAACTTCAGAGCTTCATTAGTGTGAGCAACTTAACGTATGATAGTAATTAGCGCATTTCTAAAGTCTCGGTGCAGTTTTCCAATCGCCGATATCTCTGGTGTCGGTTTGACCTCAATCTTTCAATGAAAGACCAAGTCTGCAACGCAACGGTATGACCGCAAGACTTGCCCAGTTCCCGCGAGTGATGTCCAAGGCTGTCGGTTCTTCATCACCACAGTAATCGGAACATCACTAGGGATAGATTACAAAAACATATTAGTAATGATGACATTCGTCGTCCGGTTTCAAATCAGGCATACTATGCCGACTGCCGCATAAGATTCGGTCATTCGAGCAGGCGCTTCGCCTCAGTTGTAGTCCTACCGCGCCCCTTTTGTACCCAGCAGTATCGACTGAAAGCAACGAAAAGGTATCCAAACGTGAACTCAAGGCATTATGGCGCAAACAACACAGTTTAACGAAGTTAGACTTTTCCGATTTCCGGATTAGAGACACAAAGGACCACGAGCACACCTGGTTGGAAATGTCATTGGATACGTTCCAGAATCGTATTCGATACAGGACATCGCGGGAGGTTCTGCTTTGCTACCATTCCCCTAAATGTTTTATCGTATTTACCCAGGTGTTTTGGCAATTTGTCAACTGTATGTTGGCTGTCTAATATATATATATATATATATATATATATATATATATATATATATATATATATATGCTGACCAGTAAGGCTGACATGTGAGTAAACAGTATACATTCGAGGTGGCAATGTGTGAATTACACAGAACAGATTGTACGAAAAGCTCCAGGACAATTTGGGCTTGCGAGCCGCTGGAACGCAGTTGCCCCAGTGGTAACACGATTATCAGACGCTAGTAAGCGAGATTCCGAAGGCAGTCGGCTTTGTATAAAAGTATTCAGTATTACAATGACGTACCAGAGGAAAAGTGTTCTCTCTGTGTGCACGCTACATTGCCTGTCGTGTCCTGGCTGGGGGAGAGAACAGATTGAGAGTAGCTATGATCGTCTGGATTAGGAGGGCCCGTATAGCCAAGATAGTTGTATCCGGAATGACTGGTGTTGGCTAGTACCTCGGAATCTGAAGGCCATGCAAAATTGTCTTCTGCACCGACTTGGTTTGATGGTTCCGCCTTCAAGGTCGCATTAAGCAAGGGTGTTGAATTTGAAACCGATACTGTTGAGTTGGATTGTGTGGGGAACGGGTCCGATACGGAAAGATTGGTGGTAGGCGGATGTGTCACGGGCACAGCGTCGAGGGAATTGGCCTGATCGTATAGTCCACCTTCGGAAGGTAGACCATTCGATGTAGAATCTGTAAGGGTGAAGTACCATGATGAGTGTGGAAAGCAAACAAGTGTAAGGGAGAGTAAACCCTAGAGAAAGACATGCCAAAAATGGTTGGAGGAGAGGATACAGGCAGGAAGTAGCCAGACATCAGCAGTACGCCAGTATGTAGTACGGACGCTTCGCTGCCGGCAGTCGCACATGGGCTAAGGGTACTACGAGGATCGTCCGGTCTGTATGCATGATTGAACCCGCGCGTTCGGATTAGAAGGCAGGCTTGTGATTCTTTAGGCTAAGGGTACAGTCGGTCAAGACAGAGACTAAAAGGTGGGTAACCATTTGATATATTGGTCATCTTAAGTAAAATAGAGATGGAAAAGCTCGTAACACGCACAGGCGTTCTGTCGCAATCGACAGGCCTCGTGTTTTATAATGCACACAACAGAATGATAGACAAAGTAATTCTGAACAGACACTCCGCAAAACCCCCCGATGATAACAGCCAAACAGATGGAAAATCTGAGAAGCACATGCCCAGATGCGACATCGTGTATAAAACCTGCCTATGTATGTACGGAGCCAATCTAAACAATGAGGAGAGGTTAAGTTACCAAGCAAAGAACTTCGAAACGCTGTTTCTTTTGTTAGGCTAAATGAGCGTATGATGATCCAGATTATGCGTTTGGGGTGGTAAAGCTTTTATGCGAAGACACGACCTCACGAGATTGAGCAAGCTGAATCCACACAAGCAACCTCCAAGTATCCTCCCGAAAGGCTCGTATTCACATGCTCTGAAGGCTCTCGCGTAAGATCAACGGCATACTGTTCTATGTGAAATGCAAGTATGTTACCAGTACAGTAGATCACCGAGGCTACGCAACCTTGTGTTCGCCTATGGCTGGGCTTGTCTTTCCCCCCTCTCTATTTTGGGTTCGGGTGCGTTGTGTGGTCAGCGCTCATATCTTGCGTGTGGGGTACAGACATCACAGATCATGTCGTTGATTCCGACCAGAAAAGTTGTAACAACCACGTCGGTATAACAGAGGACAATGTTCGCAAATGAATCGTGGATTCAACGTGCAATCCACTATGCGTTCTGCACAGAGCTGATAGCCTAAACCCCGGCCACCGAGTAAAATCATTGCACAAGGAAGGATAGATGTAGGAAGTGGATCCGATGAGGTAATAGCGTAGCAACTTAAAGAGATGGTACAGTAACTCAGCCATTTTCTGGCAACTGTTGTCACATGCATGTTGGAAGTGCGTGAGGGCGAAGCACAGCCAGATGAGTAAAGAGCCACACAAACACGAAGAATAGCGAATTCGAACAATGATCGTTCGAGCACTTACATTGCCCAAGAGCAAGTGATGTGTAAAAGAAAAGTATGAGTTTAGTGAGTTCGGATAACAGTTTTAAGTAAGAGCAAACAGAGTGAACAACAACATTACATAAGTGCTGATGGTCGCCGCCACACAGCAACGACCATACCAAGGATGGATATTATTAGGAAAGAGCGACGATTCAATATTACACTTAAAAACAATTAATGGAAATCAACCAACAATACACGATCACAAATAACTGGTGATGGCGCAAAGACAAGGTGGCATCGGGGGGTTAGTTTCCTGGCGAGTTCCATTGATCTGAAACAAGCTGAAACTTAACCTCACAGGAAGCTCAGCGCCATATGCAACTTAGTGATGCAGCTAGAGTGACATTGGTGACATTTGCCAGGCGTGTCCTGTTAGGCCCTGAGTCAATCATCGTACGCCGACTTGGGAGACGAAACAGACGAACAGTGCCCAGGTCACAACAAGGGCCTGCGACTTTATTTTCAAATGCCAGGTCACGGATTTTCCAGCCCCATTTATTCTACATCAGGTAGACAAAACTGCATATATATATATATATATATATATATCGATGTGAAAAATGCTGCATCACCTTGAAAAATACTCGTTTTTTGTGATTTGCCGTTCGCAATCTACAGATATGCGAGATAATACACAAAAATATGTTCACTGCTGTTTTTTAATACTGCTACAACTAAAATATGGCATCTCAATCATTATTTTATATTTATCATCCATTAGGACGTTGTTGAACGGTAACATTCAAAAATCGCATTCAGTCGTGGGGTCAGTTGACACAACGTAGTGCTAGTAAACGTGTAGTAAATAAATGTTTATTGGATGTAGGCTTGAGTAGGGGGTTTCGATAGAGTTAATTGTGAGTTCGTCGTAGCCAGTTCCAAATCAGATAGTCATGCAAATCTCCGGAAAAGCACTAGACTGCAGTTGCAGCCTGTTGGGCATCATCAGTAGTGCGCATCCATCGGATCCATCAGGATTCGAACACATGACCACCTACGGCTTGCACCGCTAGTCAGCAGCTTATGCCACTGGGCCACGGAGGGCAGCTTCGGACTGTCATAAGTTGCTAGCTAACTGCGATATAGCACGTCTTATCCTTCACTGCCATGCAATTTACAAACACTGCAGAGAACAGGGCTGTCCCCGAAAGACACGACTTCCACTGAGAGTAGTCATGTATGACATAGCATTTAGAAACTGTCGGGGCATTAGCCCAAAAAGAGTCTAGAGAATTTCAAATGTTAATACAGTCGATTCCGGTTAATAGGACCACCGGTTAATAGGACCAGCCGCTTATTTGGGCCAAATTCTGAAGAACGGAAACGAATCCTATTACGCTAGCCTAATTTTAGCCGCTTATTAGGACCGGAATTCCGCTTAATCGGACCAAACGATAGAAGGTGGCAGGTAACAGAGGTGTTAAAATCAAGTTCTGTGCCTGGATGTGTGGACTAAACCCACAGTTCATATGTCGGGCAAGAAAGCCTATCATTCAGTTACGGTAATCCGAGTTGGCCTTTGGATAAACTGAACTGTGGCAACCTTGAGGCACATCTATCTAATTGGCTTCAGAACCGCCCGAAACTGACTGTAGTTTCCAACACTTGTAGGCGGAGCGAAGACATACATGCTTGTTCACATGTCGTTAACCGCTCGATCGATGTACCGCACGTCCATTGAGCCGAATGCCCTGAGTCCGCATTGCGGGCCTACTCTCGAGCACGGCAAGTGATCGCGGACACGCAGGTCCGGCAAATCACAGGACAGCAGGTGGCTAGGTCAACCATAGAAATACCCGGGAGACAGACTCGAGTTCACCTCAGTGAACTGTGCGTGTCTTTTTGCATGTTAAGAAAATGCCACGACGGGACTTGACGTTAGCTGAGAAGATTCGTTTCCTAGATCAGATCAAGGAACAGGGACCAACCACTAGTCAGCGTCGATTAGTGGAAATTTCCTGCTTGGCAAAATCTACAAAATCGCTCCTGATAAAATAAGATCTGCGAGAAGAATGGGCACAATGTGATGGACGACGAGGAACTTCCCAAAACGGAAGCGTGAAGGCAAGTATCCAGACGTCGATGAGGCCCTTGATGATTGGTTTGCCTTTGTTACTGGACGAGCCGTGCGAGTAAGTGGCCCAATGTTAAAGTACAAAGCAGAAGAACTCGCTAAAATGCTGGGCCACGGAGATTTTATAGCTACGGACGGCTGGTTGTCTCGATGGAAATCTAGACATGATGTAAAATTTAAGAAAGCACATGGTGAGAAAGAAAGTGCCAATAGCGCTCGAGCTGAAGAATGGAAATCAACAAAACTACCAGAGCTTCTTGAAAAATTTCCAGCAGATGACATCTATAATGCTGATGAAACCGGGTTGTACTATAGGGCTACACCGGACGGCTCCTTAAGTTATAAACATTTTACTCTCTCTGGCTGTAAAAAAACAATGGATCGCGTAACTGTCTTGTGCTGCTCAAACATGTCCGGAACAGACAAGAGGAAGTTGCTGGTTATATGAAAATGTGCCAAGCCTCGCTGCTTTAATGGACTCAGAATGGACAGTTTACCAGTTGTGTACAGTGCGAACAGAAATGCATGGATGAGCTCTACACTTTTAACATAATGGGTGAAGGATTGGGACACAGAGCTACAACGCCAGTCGAGAAAAGTGTTATTACTTCTCGACAATTGTGCAGCACATTCAAATTTGGATTTCTTAAAGAATATCCAGATGGAATTTCTGCCTCCCAAGTCCACATTTTGATACAGCCAATGGACATGGGCATCATAAAAAGTCTGAAGACCTTTTATCGTGTGTGTTTGCTATAAATATATGCCGCCAATACAGGTCATAATAGTAGTTTCCTATGTTATGTATAGCACGTCCCATCTTGTTACATCGGGTAACTTCGGTTAATCGGACCAGCCGCTTAATAGGACCAAAATGGCCTGGTCCCGATGTGGTCCGATTAACCGGAATCGACTGTATTTGATTGGGCAATCTTTGTTTCTCTTAGCTGCTTTGCATCCTGAAGTTATTGCATGCACTAGCAAGTGATCACATGGATCCCGGCAACAATAAGGGACTAACTATTGCGCCGATAATATTTTTTTCGATAAATCACTGCACGCAATTCCAAATATAAAGCCAAAGTAAGACGTAAATAAGCTCGCGAAAGCTGCGCCATAGTTAGATAAATGAAGACAGAAGAAACAGCACTTGTGTACAGCGGCATGACATAGCAATCAATGGCTTGCGCAATCGGACCAGGAAGCATATGCAAATACACGTGATCAACACTGAGTTAATTAATGTTGGAGCGAGTTCACGGCAAAGATAAACTCAAAGGTTGTAACAGAGCACTCTGTTTACACAGCTCTGGTTTCAACATCCTGATTGCGATGGCTTCTGTGATGACCAATAGATGTTTCGTAAACTTTGTTTGGTAGCGTCTAGAAACGGTGTAGACGACTTTTATTCATCCGAACTTGATGAGGAGTTTCTATCAAGTGTTGCAGTATAGAACTGCTGACGTTCTTCACTGCGCCTTTCCGCAGTGACGCAGGGCAGTGTTCAGTAATCCTTTTGAACAAGCACCTGGTCGTGTGTCCAAAATACCTTGCACCACAGGCGCAAGTGAATTGACTTAAGATAAAACATTAGGATCAGACCGGGAGTGTGTCCTTTAGGTGCTGAGGTATCAATGGTGCCGTTTCAGCAAGTAGTTTTAGCTTGGTGTATGGATACGTCTAGGCAACTAAGGCAGAGAGCATTTTATGCAACATTTCAAAAGTAACGTCACCTTTAAAAGGAACTGTTAAAGAAGAACGCTTTCGTTGGCATTGTAACGACCGATTTGGTAGGACCAGGCGGAATGCAATGCTGCTTAACGAATGGAATGCGATGCCCATTTTCTTGCAGGGTGTTTCGCTTCACTTTCAAGCGTCTAAGAGCCGCAGAAGGCTTTTGTACGACGATAAAGATGACGAACTAAATTGCCCTCAGAAGTACAAAACTGAAAAATGCTTCTTTCGACTGTTCCGTCCTCACGCCTGCACAGTGGAACGTCTAGGAAGGTCAGGTAGTCATCTCTTTCGATTTCATTAGTGAATTGCAGTGGAGAATGCACCTGATTAAAATGAGCTAGTAGGCTGACATAATTAGTGGATGAGTCACAGGCAATGAATGTGCCATCCATATAACGGTATTGAGAATGAAACGAAGAGATCAGGTTACTCAGGTGCCCCCGTTCGATCATTGTGAGAAAGATGTATGCTAAGATTGGACATAGGGGAGAACCCATTGTGATCCCATCGATTTGTCTGTAATAGATCTCGTCAAACAGTAATTGTAGACTGAAGGTGCAACGTAAGATCATCAATGCTTCAGTTTTCATGCTGGAACTCTAACGTCAATTTTCTTTCAGTGACGTCGTCACGAATGAAAATCAGTCTATCAACGGTTAGTTGGTAAAGAGTGAGTGATTCCATGTTAAACGATAGCATCAATTTATCGCTAAGATTTAAGTTTTCTATTCGGTTATCGAAAGTATTTGCCACTCTATGAGTCGAGAATGCCTCGGGTCCACTGGTTCGAGCAATTCGTTTACCTGTTTTGCGAAAGAGTGATAAGCCGAGGAAGACATGTCTACTATTAGCCGCATGAGAACGTTGGCTTCGTGCACTTCTGACAATCCATAGAGTCCGACTTAGTGTTGAAAAAAGGGCATTGTCCATAAGCTTCGCCTCCTTGTGCGAAGTGTGCTCTTTATGGATTGCATCTTGTCGAAATTTGCTGTTATCGATGGGAACTGTCTTCATTTGTAGACGTAATTTGATTTGCTCAACAATACCCAACCTGACCCTTTATCAGGTCAAGAAAATATCAGTTCTAGGTTTGACATCAGATCTCTGATTGCGACACGATGCTTTTTGTTAGGATGTTAGATATTTGAGACGATATTGATGAGCGAGATGTACTAATGTGTTCTTGAACATATCAACTGGACACAACCAGGTGTTTGTTCAAACGGTATGCTGAACACTGTCCTGCATCACTGCGGAAAAGCACGGTGAAGAACATCAACAGTCTAATACTGCAACACAGCTGAAACAAACCATCAGATTCAGATGATTGAGGCCTTTAAAGTCGTCTAAAGCATCCCTAGACGCCACTCAAAGAAGCACAAAAATCTATTTGCCATCACAGAGGCCAGTGAAATAAGGGTTTTGAAACTGCGGACCCTGCTACAAGCTTTCGGTTTGCTTTGGTTAAGTAAGTCGCTCAAACATGAATTATGCAGCGTTTATCAGGTGCGTTTCCTACCGTTTAGATGACCTGTTGTACACAAGTTGTTTCTTCTATGTTCATTTACCCAACTGTGACAAAGCTTTCACGAGCCAATTTACATCGTTTGTTTTATAATGGCAGTTATCTGAAGTGATTTGTCGGAAAGAATATTCTTCGCGCAGTTGTTAACTTAAAACAATAAAGAAATAAATAACTTTTCCTTTGTTCGTTGGCAGTAGCTTTGTTATTTCTAGTAATAATATGTACCACAAGTTCAATTGGGTTTAAATCTGATTACTGAGCTGGCTTTTCGAGCGTCGGTACTCCTACTTTTTTCATCCATGCTGCAAATGTCTGCACGATGACATGGAACACTGTCATTCTGGAAGAAGTAATCTTGCTTGAATGACTTATGAGCAGTATTTCAGGATCCATACACATTTTCGTGTGTTAACCATGTCACCAACGATATGGAGTCATTCAACTCCACTGGCGGCTATGCAATCCCAAATCATGATCCCTGTTAGCTGATCGACAAAGAGGTTGATGCATTGTGTTCTGTATTCTATCCCTGAAAACTGTGGGACAAATGTGCTGCTATGATTCCAAAGAATGCGCCACTAACTAAAACGCTCTCCCAATCTTTCTTAATTCAACATGAGTAATTTCTGACCCTTTGTGTATCAGAAACAGTGGTTTCGTCCTTGCACTGCAGCCTAACAGACCGAATTCCAAGCACCGTCTCTTTATTGCTGAAGCGCACACATTCACAGAATACTTCTCCTTTCATTCCTTCAGCAGCTGAAGAGAGGCAAACTTCCTAGCAAGCAAGGATGCCCTCGGCAACACCGGGTTACCTCGGCAAGTTCTTGCGTCGACCAGATCGATGACTGTCAATTATGCTTCCAATTTTAGCTGGCTTTGTTAATAAATGACGACTGCGCTTTACGTACAGTTGGTAACGCGGAAAGTGCATATATCGGGAGGAGCAAAAGATACAAGAGAGTAACAAGGTGGGGAGTACTCTGCAAGAATGAGAAAACAAAAACAGAAAAACAAGGCTCGGAACTCACGGGAGGTCGTCGGATCGGTTTTGACATCAGAGGAAAACAAATCGTCATTTTCCGAGTGCACACAATGCGGCTGTATACGAGGAGGTAGGCAACCGTTAGATGCCGTGACGGGTGGGGCGGATGTGGGTGTGCGCGCGGAACTCGGTGTAAGTGGGGCACCAGAGGAAGCACTTCCCGAGCTCCCAACGCCATACGCGCCATGACCGCCGCCGCTGAACGCAGGCGATGCGCTCTTCGGGCCATTCGAGCTTAATCCCATGGTACTGGCAAGCGAAGGTAATGTGCTACCATCTTGTCGTTCATCGTTCCGCTTCGAGGCAGATAACCCCCGCCTTCGACGCCACTCGGTCAACTCGATGGACTCCTTGGCACGCAAGGTGTTCGAATCTAAATCCGGATTGGCTGCATGAAGCTCATAACTATCCAGACTTTGTTTAACCAATTCGAAAAGGTCATGTTTCAGAAAACAATACAAATCGTACTCTTTCTCGTTTCGACTCAGGGAAATAATGAAATTTTGCCACTGTGCAGTCGTTGGGCCCACAGCCACGTCCCACTGTGAGGAAATACCATTTTGTGGTCGTTCACGATAGAGTCGCAAATCTGCAAAAGTAAAAGATAAATGGCATTGGTCAACATATTGGCAGGTGATTGAGCTCTCAGACTTTAGTCCGAACGGTAAACAAGAACCAAATGTGCTAATTCTGCGTAAAGTCACCGAGTTGGAGATTTGGATTGCTAGTATGGTTCATTAATCTTGGGTAAGAGCAAAGAAACAACCGATGTCATAACGGATGAAAGATGCAAAAATGAAATAGGTCTACAAGGTCCTTCAGGAGGAAAAACGTTTAGAGTATAGGGTTGTTTTAAATGATCCTTGACCTGCATAGACAGAAAAACGACGCAGGCACGAGAGAAGATGAGAATAAGTGATTTAGGAGGCCGAGGGGGCACGTGGGTTATCGCTATTTTGTCAGTTATTTGATGAAGCATATGACTTTAGATAAAGTGACGCCTTGTGAAACAACCATTGGCATAGTATAGCAAACGTTGAGTCACGTGTACACAGGCGCGTTCGGTGGTGGGTGTGCACATCTAGAGTGTGTTAAACATGAGGTGGTCACAAAGCCATTTTGCGTATGTATGTGTAAATGTGCACAAGTAGCCGAAAAAGGTGTTGATAGCTGATAGCTGACAAAACTGTAATTACCCGAACAGCAACGAGGGGGCGATGGAAGATGCCAAATTAGGGCTTTAAGTGATACGCAAGGCAGCAGTGCAGCAGGAGAAGTAGATGTCGTAGATATAGTTTTTTGCACTCCCCACTCAGAGACAGTAAACACAGAAAGAGGACTAAAGATTGGCTCGGTTTCCGAATGTAAAAGTAGGTGGAGTTAGCGGTTAAAATGGCATGTATCAGATAGTACAGGCAGCACCGAGAACATGAGCGGCTGTGACTCAAGAAATGATGTTATCGACCACGAAAATGAGAGAAATGGTGAAGGTATGGTCAATAGCCGCTACGAGATTTGCATTGACACTTCGCTATGGCGACCAAACTGGACTTGAACTTGGTGTGATGGTCTGCATGTCTCACGGACCCGGTGAAGTATGACGGGTTGTCCTTTTTGTACCATCACAGACAAACAATATTGGGCAATTCAAAGCTGAATTTAGGGAGAACGCTGTGTGGTTGGGTTGCGACTCGCAACCTCTATTAAGACCTCGGTTCACTTTGAGGTAAACCTCGGTCATTCCGATCTCGAGGACCGTATCCTGAATGGATATATTTGGGTGTTGCGCTTCCCAACCCTGGCACACCACGACCGCGGTTTCGTCTTGGTTTAGACTCATCAAGTGGAGATAGCCTGAGCTAGGGTGGAACTCAGAGCTTAGTACTTCATGGCTGACGCCCTGAACACTATGCTACTAAGATCCGCGAGCAACGCTTGGCACAGCGGAAAGTAATTCAAAGCTGAATTCAGGGAGCACGCTGTGTGATTGGGTTGCGACTCGCAACCTCTATTGAGAGCTCGTTATAAAAACTGTCTCCTGAACCTCCAGTTTGGGGGGTTGGATGATGGTGGCTACGTACTCCTTGATAGCCCAGTATCAAACTCCCGCTGCCTTGGAGTTAAGTTGTTAAACAAAAGGCTTTGGCTGAGAATCCTAAAATCGTTCAATCTAGATCATGGCAATCTAACAGTATCCTGCTCACGCCATCCAATGAACTTCTCTTCAAATACTTTCAGGATGCTCTGTCCGTCGCCGAGTGTACTCAACGATGCCCTATTTGCTGCGTTGATGAGGGTGGGTAGGGATGAGGACGCTATTGCCCACTTCGGCTTTTTCATGCTTATCGTCCGCTACAAGTTCACTTGTAACCACCCACTTTTCAAACGCTGAGTTCTCGGTCCTCTACCCTTTCGTTCTGACAGATGTTTCGCTTCTAGTTTCGACCCACATGCCATTTCAGAGCATCGCTCGCGCCCTGTCAACAAGGCAATGTCGGTGCGCCCCTTATATTTGGAGCCATCGACCCTCGCTGAGATTGAGTTGCCTCAACGTGCGCTCTTTGGTACTTCAATTAGTTGTAAGTATTTGCACAAACATTATAGACGATATTGAGCAATATCCGTTGCTCATCGGAAACCCTGTGCAAGACTCGAGCTTAGCAATCAAACTACGATCCTCTTCATCCGATACTGGCGGCCCTTTGTTATCGAGCCAATCCGGAAATAATGAAGCTGCGAAAGCCGGTCGAGCAGTGTGGGCATTGCTCTGAGCCGACGGCCTCACTATGTTCCGCAGGAATGAATCCAAACTAGTAGCCCGATGTGTGCTGGCAACTTGACTGGTACGCTCAAACGTTCGAAATCACGTTGTGAAAACAGATGCCTACACCTATTAAAACCCCAGAGCTGCCTCGGTGAAAAAGATGACTTTTACCATCAATTGAGCGAGGTCCTTCGTGTCACAGAAGGAGTACGAATATTGCAGCAGTGACTGATCTGAACATTCAAGTTGGAGAATTGTATATTGATGAACTGAATCTGGGTGGTCAGCACTGTGTAGTCTGTAACGATAACAGTGTCTGTAAAAATTCTCGTATATTTCTTGCAAGCGCTAACTCCTACACCACCACCCACACGAAGATACATGGGCTCACCAGTCTGGGACCAAGAATGGGCATAAAGCGGTCACATCGCAATCAGTTTTCGTTGGGGCGATAGCGTGCCAAACCGGCGTTCTATTTAGAGCACAGCCGTGGACTCTGACTATGCATCTGTATACGCTGGTGCGTTTCGGATGACGCCTGAGACGACGAATAGATATGGATGCATGGACACTCACAAACTGGTGAAGTCAGATCTGAATGCCTACCAGTGCGCTAGTATCCGCGCTGAGTAACCGTTACCAGAATACATTAGACGACCAATAGTCGCATGTTTCTCAGCCATTAATATCAACAGGTATGTCATGAAGCAAGTCCGATTACAGCGTCGATACTGGGTTTCTACTCAGTCTTTAGAGTTTCTCGATGCTCATCGACATGCGGTTGGAAGCGAGCACAAGGGGACTCGCAACAACTTCAGGACGGTCCACTGGTCGTTGATAATGCCGTTCGTTTGGATACACCCTCTCGCGTGAGATCGAATGACTGAAGTTGAATATGGCCCTGGGATCAGATGATCTTCCTTCAGAACTCTTGAAATTCGGGAGACTTGGTCCTGTGGACGGTTTGCACGGTTAATTAATGAAACTGGGAGAGCAGGAAAGTGTTCCAACCAACTAGAACCCTTCTGTTACTATCCAGAGCTTCAATGAGGGGCTCACATTAGGAAGGAAGCGATCATAAAGAAATCAGTCTGATCTCTATCGCCTCTAAGTTACTTGCCTCTGTCGGGCTTCACAGACTAACTGGCACCCGTGAAATCCAGATCCGTAAACAGCAAACCGGATTTCACCAAAATCGAGGCAGCATTGACGACATACCCAATTTATATCAATTGCCGGAGCATTGTCACTTGGGTCCGGATCGATACGTCCTTTAGGAAACGTGCACCCAAACATATGTAAGTATTATAAGAACGCCTTATGCGTGTAGCTCAGGCAGCGTGACGGATTGTAGCCATTTGTCACCGTCCTTCAATATCTCTAGCGATATAAGACAAGAGTGCCCGCTGGTGGTCTTTTTTTTACCTCCCTACTGATGAAGTGATGGAAACTGTATACATTGGTCACGACTTTGGTGTGGAGCTGCTCCCAGGTGATCGACTTCTTGATTTGTCCTGATGCAAACGAGACTGTCCTCATTTGTGACAACTCACAAACCTGCCAATCAGCACTGGACAGATTAGCACCGACCGTCCATCGTTTCGAGCTGTGCTTTGCGCCTTCCAAACGCAAAGTCCCTCTTCAAGAATGGCAGGTGGCAACTCTTCGCTGCGACTTGGGGTGATTAGCGAGAGATCATCAAGAAATTCTAGTAGCCAAATAGAGATATGAGAGTCTATGGAACGGTAGATGAAGTGGCAAACCATATAGGTGATATTGTTCTACGTCGGCACTTATGACAAGCAGCGATGTCACTCTCGTCCTGAAGGGCAGAGTTCACAACGCAGACGTGTGTTCAAGTATCCTGTACGGTTGTGAAAGCTGACCTGTCAAATCGACAGATATAAATACGCCAGTTACATTGGAACAACGATGCCTTCGTAGTCTAGTTCATGTTTGTTGGGAACACTAAGTGAGCAATCAGTGGGCTTAGTGCCATGTTCATGACGCAGGAAGAAGTGAACCAATCTGCACAGTTAGAAAATGCATCAGGTTCCGATGGCTTGACTATGTGTTGCGCACGTCAGCACCCTGACACTCGCGAAGTGCGTTATTTATGGGACAGGGGTCTGGATGGAAGAATAAGAGGGAAACCAAACCAATGACATAGTCAAGATGAATAAAGACTCTTACTATGAATTTGGCCTCAGTTGCCGTGTCCCGACTGCTTGGCTGGGGTCCCAAGAATGATGAACAAGCTTGGTTGGATACACCAGCTGATATGGCGAAGAGTCAACCCCAATGGTGCTTGTGCTTGTTTGTTCCTCTCCCTCCTGCCTAGCTTCCTTCTCCAACCACGATCTCACACTTGAAGCATTATGTGACAGAAGAAAATGTTGATAACTTAGGTTGTTCAGTTGGTGCTCTATGTGTCTGCTGAACTCGGCAGTTTGGCTGCAAAGGTTTCGTCACCACTAGAGGTGACATCGTCAGTGAGCGGTTATGTAGCGGAGCGGCGAGGTACGAAGCGTCAGTGGGTGTGAGTGATCGATCTCCTAGGCGGATGAGTCGTCAGTCTGAGTTCGGATCATGCGACGGGCACATGACCATCGAAATCGATCTCTGATTCGTACCTCGAAGCGTAAGCACGCGTGCCTCTTCGGTTGACGTCCTCGTTTGACGCATTTGGCTGGCGTTTTGTTCCGTTAGATTTGTTCGACTACTTTGGTGATCTTTCTATAGGGCTGCATATATAGCATCCAGTTCAACGAGTCGGTTTATTGAATTGCCTATAGAATACCGTGCTTCCAAGAAGTCTCTAGCTT